TGAGGCATTAAGTTCTTCAGACGTTGCTAAATCCATTTCAGATCGTGATGATGCGGTAGATATTGAGCCTCAAAGTACTATTGATAATTTTCAAGAACGCCTTGCTGAAGTCTTCGTACGCAGTAATATGTCTCATACGCAAGTAAATGCTGTTTTACAGGTTGTTCGAACGCATCCTTGTTTATCCACATTGCCAAAGGATAGTAGAACGCTTTTAAAAACTCCACAGATCGCACATCCCACACTTAACATTGCAGGAGGTGAATATCTCCATTTAGGATTTGAGGCAGGAATTCTTTCCATTCTTCAACAAACCTCTCCGGAACTGATTCCACTTGACACTTTGATGGTAGACTTTAGCACAGATGGTGCCACACTAGATGGGCAGGGTAAAATTCAAATGTGGCCGATACAAATTAGGATTGCAAATATTCCTCGAAGTAAACCTGAAATCGTAGGCGTTTGGCGAGGTTCATCGAAACCAACTAACGCGAAGGAATTATTTCAATATTTTGTAAATGAAGTTCGAGATGTATTAAATCGTGGAGGAGTTGTTTTCCATAATCAACTAAAATTGATTAAATTGAGGTGTTTCCATAGCTGATTCTCCTGCACGGGCTTTTGTATTGGGTCATAAAGGTCACGGTAGTCTATTTCCGTGTTCGAAATGTTGGATTCGGGGAAATTGGCTTCGTCGTGGAGTCGTTGCTTATCGTGGTATTCAGCATAGGCCTCGTACAGACGAAGAGTACAGACATCACATTGATGGAGAACATCATACAGATTCTGATTCTGCTCTGCTTCCTTTGGGGATAGGGTTGGTAACTCAAACGGTCTTTGACTACATGCACACCGTTTGTCTTGGTGTTGTTCCCAAAATAAATAACGTTCTTGTCGATGGAAAATGTAATCCAAATTTAAAACTTTCAGCCAGATCACTTGAAATTATGACGACACGTCTACAGCAAGTTAAGAATTACTGCCCTAAGGAATTTTCGCGAAAACCGCAATTAATGAAAAAGTGTGGAGGGTTTAAGGCCACGGAAAATCGCCAACTTCTTTTATATACTGCCCCAGTTATTTATTACGGACTCATAAATCCTGTTGCGTACAAACATTTTCTTTTATTACATTCCGCCATTCGAGTTCTAGTCAGTTCTTCCTTATCGGAAGACCGTCTTGATTTTGCACAGACAGCATTAAATATTTTTGTGAATAGAGCAGAAGATATATATGGTCCAGAATTTCTTTCGTACATTACTCATTGTCTTTTACATGTAGTAGATGACGTAAGACGCTTTGGCTCATTGAATGAATTGTCTATGTTTCCATATGAAAATAATATGACGTATTTCCGCAATGCTTGCCGCAAGCCTCATCAACATTTGCAACAAATCGTAAATAGGCGACATGAAAAGTTGCAAATTACACCAAATATAAATTTAACTAAGGAAGTGGTGCGTTCCAGTAGACCCTGGGTTAGTCTTGTAGTTTTTGATGCTCCGCTAGATAGTCGCCAGTTTCAGATCTTAGACACAGGAAAATTTCGTATATCGGTGAAGAATCAGGATAATACGATAATATTGCAGAACTCAAAGGTTTATCTCGTTCAGAGCATCATTCTCTCGCGTGATAATTATCAGTTGGCGGTTAAAGAATTTTGCAGAGTTGAAGATTTTTTTCGATGTTGGTTTGCCATTGTCAACAGTAGGTATCTTCCGATGTTCTTTATTATCCGATAAAGTTGTTATAATAGATCTCAATGAAGTGCAGAATAAGTGTTTCCGCATGCCTTATTGGCACACTGAAGGGCATATAGATCCAATTATTGATGGCTGGGTAGTTGCAGTCATTCTACATACTATGAATTGGAACACCATAGCTTTCATTAGGTGAATTCTCTTTAAGGCATTCTGCATAAGCTCTTCCGTAACGCGTTACGTTACATTAAGTACTGATTATAAACCTAAACCTAAACCCGTACATAAATTTGAACTTCAGTCAACATACAAACAAAAACGTAACATAGCAAAAGCGTCACGCGTTGCGATTTTTTTTGTACGTTGACTGAAGTTCAAGTTTATGTGCGGGTTTACTTTATGGTATCAGTACTAACGTAATGCATTACGGAAAAGCTTGTACGGATGGCCAAATTTTTCTTAAGATGAGTCAACGAGGACGAGAAAGAGAAAAAGAAGCGGACAAGACATTTAAAGCGTTGCAATTACTGGATAACAATATTAAAAAATATCGTAAATCTCAGCAAAAAAGGGACGACAGACACGTACAAGGACATAAAACACAAAACATGACCACACCCAAAACTACATAAAAACAGAACACAGCACCATTATCGCATTTCTCAGCATCATCATCATCCTTGCATGTTCGATCATCATCATTCTCATCTAAACAATCATATAAACACATGCCGCCTCCATTAGCACCATTACAACATAGACCCATCTTATCACACTCACCTTCAGTAGCCACTCAATCATTCGTACAAAACATTCCTCCAACATCAAAACCACTATTACAACGCAGACAAATATTATCACGCTCGCCTTCACCATCCAAACAATCATTCACACAAAACATTCATCCACCATCAAAACCACCACATAAACAAACAACATTAGGAGCATCTCCTGTACAATGCAATCACCTATCACCAGCCAGACAAGGATATGAAGAAGGGACAAAAGAGGAAGGAACATCCCGTGATATAATGCGGTCTCTAAAGTAAGTTTCAAAAATAATTACAAGATAGTCGTTTATGTGCACAAATAAAGACATCAAATTTTATTTCAGAATGATCATGGCGCAACTACGTCGTATGGAAAAGCGACAAATCTCTATTAAAAATAAAACCGAGTAAGTATTAATTTTATGACTATTTAATTACTAAGGAAGAAGGGTGATGCAAGATCGAGCAGACTAGCACCGCACGGTGCTCGGTGCACACAAGCAAAAGTCGATGACGTCACATGTCCGTGTGCGCTGGGTGGGCTGTCGGCGAGTATAGAAGAATAGACATATAGTCTTTTGTCTCGCTTCTACCAAGCCGGCCGCGCGCCGGCGACGTTGCGCGCTTCTTGTTGCGTATGACAACGTATGAAATGCTTTTTTAAGATTTATAGCCTCGTAAAAAGTTTATGATATTGATATTAATAAAATATCTCAACATTATGCATTTGTATGAGTTATTAATTCTTATGTAAATACATGAAATAAATGTATAATGTTGAAATATTTTATTAATATCAATACTATATATTTTTATAAGGCTGTAAATCTTGTAAAAGCGTCAAAATAAATTAACTGCGTTAAAATAAATTAACTGCGTTAAAATAAATTAACCGCGACAAAAATAAGCTGTTAGAATATTTCACATTTTATATATACAGGGTGTCCCTAAATTCGCGCCCACGGAGTACAAGGCGTGATACTTTAGGCTAAAAGGAACAACTTTTTCCTTTAGCAAAATTGCGTGCGATAAGCAGTTTTTGAAGGAGAGCAGGTTGAAGTAAACCAATAGGCGTTCTGGTGTAAGTGGCGCTCAGGGCCGGCGCGCGCGCTTCGCTCACTAGTATCAAATTCTTGACTAGTATTTACAAGTAATGTTAAAACATTAATGCTTTGTTATAACTAGTTTACTATGAATTTATTTGTATTTTAGTTATGATTTTATTTTAATTATACATATGATTAGTTAGACTATACTTAGGACTCAAATAATAAGAATCAACTTGAATACTGAACCGTGATCTTTTTGTATTATTTAAAAAGTGAATAAAATTAACAAAATAAATATTGCTTTTATTTCTTACGTAATAAAAGAATGAAAGAATTGTCTGATTTCGTAGATCTATCTGAAAATAGAGACAAATGTAATGTAATGTGCTTTGCGAGCTAACCGTTTCTATTCTTCTAAATTTTTTCTTTTTTCATCATTTTCTTACATTTTGGAAAATTATCTTACACTTTGGATATTTTTCATAAAACACAAAAATAATTTAAGAAATACACTAACTTTTTCAAAATATGAACTATCAAAGTATGCAACTTTGCAATGATAACTGCTTGATAGTACAAAGTAACGCACATTGAGATAATAAATCGGCGTCGCGGAAAAACGGCTACAATAAATGCAAGTATCTTTACATGTCGTTTTTAAGATCAAAACAATGATTGGCAACAAATTTACTCTCTTCTAATTATAGCAATTAATTTTATTGTATAAATATTTGTTCTATTTGAAAAATATTTTATCTATAAATATTCTATATAAAATTTATATATTCTATATAAAACGTTTTTTATATTTTCTAATTTATTTTAATTTACGTAGCCATTGTTCGCAATATATTCAAATATGCCATAGATGTTTTAATTATCTAAAATAAAAAGATTTCTTTTTTTATTTACTCTTATCATAAATAAACTATTTAAAATAAAAGTTTTAATAGTAAAGTTAAAAGATTTAAGCGTTATTAAATTCGATTCTTTTTAATAGATGACTATATAAATTATACATTTTTTTACTTACATCGCCAAAAGTTGTGATAGATAAATGAAATAACTTTCCTGCAGTCATCTTAGTTACATTACTTGACCGTCCTATTATTAGAACAAGACCAAGCGCAGTTTTGTTACGTAATTTATACTGTAACACGAGAGGTCCTTGCACGCGTTCTAAAACTGCGGCCCTGAGAGGGCGCTAGCAAGAAGTCACGGTGGCGCCAGTCGTTGTAGAGCGAGTCAAAAAGAAGGCTGTATAACCTAAACTGCATTGGAAATATATCTCAGTTTTTTTCCTTATTTAAATTCTTCTTTGAGCGTCGTACAACCTGTCAAGTACTCACATATCCCAACGGTCACCCATTGATCGTTACAATTGGCGCCCAACTAAAAGGCCAGGTTACGACCGAAGTCGTCACGTCTAACCAAGACGTCATCCCCACGCAAGCCAACTCGGCCGACAACGCGGTCGCAAACACGAACGCAATCGTCGATACCACGTAGGGTAAGCTCAGACAAAAAAGCAAAGAAGAAAAGACAAGAAGCTACAATGGCGGAAAGTCAGAACACAGGTAACGCAATTACGTTAACAAACGAACAATTCATCGCTCTTCTACAACAGATACAGATATCTGCTACGAACGTCCCCACCGCAAATGCCGCGCTACCGCAAGGTAATTTTTCGCGATGCACTTCTCGATTCGATGGAAAAAAGACGTCCGATGTAGAAGCTTTTATCGATGCGATCGTTACATACAAAGAATGCACAAATATATCCGACGAAAACGCCCTAAAGGGACTACCGATCCTACTCATGGATCTCGCCGCGACGTGGTGGCAGGGTGTCAAATCTACAGTCAATACGTGGAATGCCGCAATAGATCTGCTAAAACTAACATACGGACCTAAGAAACCGGCATACCGTATCTACAAAGAACTCTTCGCGCGGGAACAAGAAGAAAATACATCGACGGACGTATTTATATGTAAAGCACGCGCCCTCCTTGCTAAACTTCCGTACAACACGCCGTTAACGGAAAGCATCCAATTAGATATGGTCTACGGATTATTGTCATACAAGATTCGAAAGGAGATATCACGTGAAAAAATTACGTCATTTTCGGAATTATTAGATCTCGCGAGGGAAGTCAAAGAGACTCGAGCCGAAGAAAATAACGACACATCTAAACAAACGATATCGTTTCGTAAACATGAATCCCGTCTACGATGTAAATACTGCAAAAGTTTCGGACATACGGTAGACGAATGCATGAATCTTAAAAAGAAACAAGAAAACAGTCCGACCACGACTAGCAAAAAAGACAAAACGGATTCGGATACAGACGATGCGCAAGCGAATAGCCAACGTTCTCGGCCTACAGTTACTTGTTTCGGTTGCGGGAATCCCGGGTATCTCCGTAAAGAGTGCCCTAAGTGCAATAAGACGGATAAAAGCGGCAAAGGCATAGCGAAGCCTGATTTCTGCCTCGTAGACACATCTCCGATACATGCAAAATGCAAGAAACGAACGATTCTCAACATTGAAATATTAGGGGCGAAAGGCACTGGTCTGATCGATACAGCCGCAAAAATGAGTGTCGCTGGTTACAGTCTATATAAAATTCTAATCGACAAAGATCAAAAATTCAAAGAAACAGACGCATATATCGGACTGGCAGACGGTACGCGTAGCAGGGAACACGTTTTATTAACAGAAGTTGACGTTCATCTAATGGATCGCACGATAAGTATCACATTCCTTATAATACCGCACGCAGAAAATAATTACACACTACTCGGCATGGACTTTATCGAAAAAGCGAAAATTGTAATAAATGCTCCACAGCGTATCTGGTATTTTGCAGATGAAAACGAACCGCGTGAGCTGAACTTTGAAGCTTCGGAAGGAACATCTGACACTGTACAACTGAATTACGTCGAGACACTAAGAAACAACGAAGCCCAAGTTCTGTCCTCAAATCAGCGTGATAAACTCAATGAGTTTTTGTCTACTAACGAAGACATCTTCGCACTAGGGGAGGAGCAGACAACGTACGCTGAACACGCCATTGAAACAGGCGATAACGCACCAGCAGCCGTACCACCGTATAAAATGCCCCGACATAAGAAAGAAATATTGGAAAAGGAGCTTAATGCTATGCTAGAAGCAGATATTATCGAAGAATGCGAATTCCATGGGCGGCCCCAGTAGTATTAGTGCCGAAAAAGGACGGTACGATGAGAGTTTGCATTGATTATCGTCGCTTGAACGCCATCACAAAGACTGATTCATATCCGATGCCCAGGATTGATGAACTACTGCATCTTGCCAAAAGATCTCTCTATATGTCGACTATCGACCTGCGCTCAGGATATTGGCAAGTGAGCGTGAGACCGACTGATCGAGATAAAACTGCATTTACGACGCCGTTTGGTACCTTCCGTTTTAAGCGCATGCCTTTTGGCCTGAAGAATTCCGGCGCCACGTTTCAAAGGCTAATGGACCAGTTCCAAAGAGGCTTAAAGGATACTACGGTAATAGTATACTTAGACGATATAATAGTAATCTCGGCCAGTTTTGAGGAACACTTAGCGGATCTACAAAAAGTATTTAGCCGTCTTCGTGAATTTAAACTACGAGCCAAACGAGAAAAATGTAATTTTGCATGCTCACAAATCAAGTTTTTAGGACATATGATCACGACCGAAGGAATTCGTCCGGATGACGATAAAGTGGCAGCCATTCTAAATATCCCACCGCCTAGAAATGTAAAGCATTTACTTACGTTTTTACAAACTGCCTCATGGTTTCGCAAATTTATTCCGAATTTCGCAGCAATCGCTAAACCATTAACATCGCTCACCAAAAAGAACGTCAAATGGACATGGTCAGAAGATCAAGAAGATGCTTTCAACAAATTAAAAGAGGCACTTACCAGCGCTCCCATACTCAGACAAGTGGATGAACAACTACCGTTTATTATACGAACGGACGCCAGCAATTACGCAATAGGAGCTATCTTAGCTCAAGGTGAAGGATCTGACGAAAGGCCCGTAGAATACGCCAGTCGCCTACTGACTTCAGCAGAATGTAACTACAGTACGATTGAGCGCGAAGCTCTCGCTATAGTTTGGGCTGTTTCTAAATTCAGAGGGTATATCGACGGTGCTCAAATCACTATAGGCACAGATCATCAACCGCTGAAGTGGCTTATGAGCCTGAAGTCGCGTC